TTATATACGAAAGAACGATATATACATACATATATCGTAACTGTGTGTAATCCGCAGTGTGAGCTTTTCCTCGATCTTCTACTTAACCACCTCTATTTCGAGTGTTTCCTCGTGATGCTAAGCACTTCGCCGTGACGACGCCGATATCGTCTCCTCCTCGTCCTCCTTCTCCTTCTTCTTCTTCTTCTTCTTCTTCTTCTTTTTATTCTTATTCTTATTCTTCTTATTCTTGTCCTCCTTCTTCTACTTCTTCTTCTTCTTCTTCTTTTTCTTCTTCTTCTTCTTCTTCTTTTTCTTCTTCTTTTTTTTCTTTTTCTTCTTCTTTTTTTTCTTTTTCTTCTTCTTTTTCTTCTTGACGACAAACCAGACGAAAACTTAAAACGACTTATTAAATGATCCAACACTTCACATTTCGTATATCATTAATTCAGAAATTCATTAATTCGTTAATATTTGAGAGTATACCCTTCGAGAGTACACCCTTCGAGAGTACACCCTTTCAGAGAACACCCCTTGTAAGCTTCTTTCCTCTGTGCTTTTTCTTTCTTTCTTTCTTTCTTTCTTTCTTTCTTTTTTCCTTTCTCTTTGCTTGCTATTAATATAAATAAATTTAAATTATTATATACAAATTTATAGACTGTGTCCTTCCTCTTTAAATACATAGATTATCGTATTTATTCGCTTATTCATTTCTTTATCTTGAATAAAAGTATTTGATTCTATGTATTTATGTATGTACGATATTGTATGTAAATTTTGATTGTAACGATATATAATATATTTTACTTTGTACTTTTAACGCCATTTAATCTATAGAAAAATCATACGTATGATTTACATATGTACGATATATAATCATAAAAATCATTAAAAATTATAAAATAATAAAATATGGATATATGTATCTATGTAATTTATGTTAGTACGATATAATGATAAGTATAAAAATGATAAAAACGTTTACAATAATAATATAATAAGATCGATCTAATGTATAACATAATGAGATTATAAATAAATAAATATATATATATATATATATATATGAATATATGTATATGATAAAATCATATGTATTTACGTATGTATTCTATTTATTGTTATTATGTATAACATAATAACAATCATAACAATGATAACAATTATAAAATTTCAATGATCATATAATATAATAAGATCGATCTTGTGTATATAACATAATGAGATCTATGGAGGAATCTATAGAAAATTATATGTATGTATAATATGTATGTATGGTAAGTATGTATTTAGCAATCTGATTATTCTGCTCTCCTCTCTAGTAGTCGACTCTGCATCTAGTCAGACCGACTCTAGAGTCTATCGCAATCGATAACTCGGCAAAGTAGAAGACAGCGATAGCTTTTACTTATATATGTATATACATTCGATGCAATATATATATATATATATATATATATATATATATATATATGTACATAACATCGATCAATGCAATAACAAAACGTTTTAATATAATTACTTTGAGTGATTAATATCATGGCAAAGAATAGTATGGTCTAATGAAAAAGATTGTCTTTATGAACGATATATAATTAATAATATCTTTATATTAATATTTAATAATGATTATTATCACGAAGGGATTGACGATTATATTTAATCGAATAATTTTTTACGGTCAACAAAAAAAAAATAAAACAAAGAAGGAAAAAGTAAATGCTCGTATTATATGTATATGTATATATATATATATATATATATATAGAGAGAGAGAGAGAGAGAGAGAGAGGGAGAGAGAGAAAAAAAAAATAAATAAAAAGTAGACAAAGAAAGATACGTCCTAACGAAATGACCTAATTAAAATAATCTTATTCAAACAATTCAACGTTTCGAATAAAACATATAGTAATTCGAAAGATAATATTGTATAGTGTAAAAAAGGAAAAAAAAAAGAAAAAAAGAAAAAGAAAGAAAGAAAAAAAATTATTTAAATATAATTACTCAATTTACTAATAAGACTCGTCTTTAAAAGAAAGAAAATTTACGTATTTTTAATAATATTTAATGAATTATCCTAGCAAATTAATTATTCTTTGATTGTCAAACGAACAAAAAACCCAAAAAAAAAAAAAAAAAAGAAAGAAAAGGTCATCGCATTAGTGATAGGATAGAGAAAAAAAAATATTCTTTAACGGAAATGACCTAACTAAAATAGTACTTTTGAACAATTCAAGAGTTTGAATAAAACATGGTAATTTCTGAATGATACTATCACCGATATAACAGTTAACATTGAGAATGTATTTTTATCGATAACAGTGGCCTTTTACTTTTAAACTTTCGTGCTGATAGAAAGCATGTGTACTTGATCCCAAGGCTATATATATATATATATGTATATATATATATATATACATATATATATACATATACATATGCATATATATATGTATATATGTATATATGTATATATGTATATAAAGAATAACATTTTTCTGTTAAAGTTCTTATTAATTAATAATGTAGATGTGCGTGAAAGAACATGATCGATTTTGTTTGAATTGCATTTTATGAAGGGATGGTAATAAATATTTATGAAAATGACAAGTGGGTGCGAAGGACTGACACGAAAGTAATCGAATTAGTCCCGGTATCCCGCAAAGTACGCAAAACGGTTTCGCTGCATTTCTATCCAATTAGGTTTTGCACGGACTATGCGATACCACCGGGTTGGAGGTCGAGCTTCCATTAAGAACTACTTCGCCCCCATGATGTGTAATCCAAGCTTTTCTCGCAAGGACCAAAGTGGGACACATGATCAGTTTTCCTATCGTCCATATACTCTCCTATTTCCAACAAAGCGGAAATCTTGTCATGGTACAGTAAAGATTTATATATATATATATATATATATATATATATAATGTTGGAACAAAAAATTAAAAAAAGAAAAGAGATATTGCAAATAATTTTCTAACTTGATAAATAATATACTTTTAATATTTATAATATATCGTTTCTTTTCTTTTTTTTTTCTTCTATTATTTAAAAATATGAATTATTTTCCTTTTTCTTCTCCATTATCTTTCTAATAATTTGCCAAATTAAATAAATAATGGAAGAAGTAAATAATATATATTGTTTTTAATAAATATCTATCATTATTTTCTATATATATTTATATTACTTATATTTTTGTAATAAATTTCTCTCCATTATTGTTAATATTTTTCATTATGAATTATGATAAATGTCTGTTATTGTTTATAATTAACATGTTCTATTATTTAAACCAATTATCGATTATTTAAATATTATTATTGTTATTATTATTATTATTATTATTATTATTATTATTATTATTATTATTATTATTATTATTATTATTATTATGATTATTATTATATGTATAAATTTAATTCTTTCATTTTATTAAAAATTGTTTAATACACAATAGATGAATGTGTTTTTCGATATTTACAACAGATTTGTTTTATATATATATATATATACAATTTAAATTGTTTCCCTTACTAAGTCGTATTAATCTGTTAACAGCGAAAATGAATTAACTCATTACATTTTTAATTTTCCGATTTACAAATTCATTAATTAATCCAAAGCTTTCTCACCCCCCTCCTCTCTCTCTCTCTCACTGCATCCCTCAATATTTTATTTTTCATTGAAATAAGTTTCCATAGTCATGATTGAAATTTTTCCTGATTAACAAATTAAAATAGCCGAGGAAAAACACAGCACCATAAATATATATGATTAAAAATATAAAATATTTTTAGTATTTTTACTAAAAATAGCACAGAAAAAAAGAAAAGAAATAACAATTCTGATAGAGCGAGATTATAGATTTGTACAAAAAGCATACAAATATTAATAAGAAGATTCTTTATATTCTACATAGCCTCCACACAAAATGCTTTGTTAAAATATAAAAATCTTCGAACGACAAAAAAAATTTCATATTAATATTGCATAAAAATGAAGAAACATTTTGAAGAATAAGTTCTCCCAGTGATAGTATCTACAATTTAGAAACTGTCAACCTTTATTATTCTGCTGGTCTATCATATTACAAGGAATCAATACCAGTTTTGGAATCATGCCTGGCGGTGTTATAAATTGTTGCGTACTTTGTGCCGTATTTTGTCCCGAAAATCGTACCTCTGCCTCTGTAACAATTTTACAAATATTCATTTTTATGTCAGCTTGTGCTTTTGGTGGTAATCTCTTGACTGTTTGTGCCATACTGTCAAAAAACAGTTCTATACTGCTTTTGCCTTCCGGCGCTAGATAAACTTGTTCTAGATTCCTTTCTCCATCTTCTTGTACATTATTTAATCCTTTTATAGGCGTCGTAGGTGTAGTTGTAGTAGATGAACTGGTTATGAAAATAGGTGTAGTTATAGGATTGTTATCAATAGAGACCATGTTTTTAGTTTTCGAAGGAGTCTTTAAAATACTATACGTGTTAGGCACCTCTGTACTAGACGGATGTTCCACCTTTAACCTCTTCGGTCTTATCTTTCTATATTTTGATTGTATTTGTTGAACGTAAGTATCCACATCTTGATGATGTTGTTGTATTTGGTCATTTTCTATTTGTATATTCTCAGCTAAATGTTGATCACTGGTATTTAACATTTCTAAAGGTTCAGTATCCACTAAAACTGGATCAGCCGTTGTCTCTTCTAGTACCTCTAAATATTCACTATAATCTTCATCATTGCGATCTTCTAATTGTTCAAGAAGACCTTCCGAACTTATTCCACCTGCATTTATATCTTGTATGTATTCTTCTGACAATTCTATACTTTGTGGTTGATAATCTGATTCGTACCTAACCAAATATATTTGATTATTTACATATGATATATATATATATATATATATATTAATGTTATTGTTATATCATTTAAAAACTTACGGAAATTTTAAGAAACTCAAATGATCTTCAAAAATCCATTTCTTTCTTCTAACACCTTTCTCAGTCTTATTTTTGTACTTTAAGATGCGGCAATAGGTATCCCGTAGATTTTTCCACCTTAATCTAACCCAAGTTGCTAGATAATTTAAATAATATAAATTTTATTATATCACATATATAATGATGATGTTCAATGAAAAAGAATTTCTATATAATGAAATCTTACGATCGAGACCAAGCTCATCCGAAATACGTTTCCAAACTTTCTGTTTAAATTCTTGTAGCTTAATGGAAGATCCCTTAACTTCGGAACTATAGAGAACAGGATGTTGCTTGATAGCTTCAATTATTTTTAAAGAAATTTTATGAGAATCTGGTGGCATTGTTGGCATCATCTTGTATCCTGACTTTAAGTGGACCTTTCACACGCGGTTTGTTATTATCTGGGGAAAAAAAAAAGAAAAAAAAAAAAGAAGAAAAAAAAAACATGAAAAGAAAAGAAGAAAAAAAGAAAGGAAGAAAAAATAAATAAATATATAAAATTTATTAAAAATTTATATAGACATATATAATGTATATATGAAATAACCGGTCCATATCATTTCACGTTTGATGTACACGATGTACAAATTTTAGATAGATTTTCCAAACAATCTTTCATTCTTATCCACATAACGCGACAAAAATGATAATTCTGATCGACTTTTCTACATCGCATCATTTCTACCGTATATGATTTTAATGGGATTCTATATTCGAATAACGTATCGTGCGCTTGAGCATACAGTCGCTCGGTAAGAATCGGTCGTGAACAGTTTGTCAAGTACCTCAAATCCACAGAAATTGCTCAGCCGCTAGAAATGTAAAGGGTCCGTTAATGAAACGACAACTGCACACGACAATATCATTTGGGTAACGCCATCGCTTAACGCTTACTGTAGTTCCGTCGCAGTTTCTAACCGGAAATACGACAAATAAGATTCCAATTTTAAATATGTCTTATACTAAATTCATTGCTTCGATTAAAAAGATGTAAAATTAAAAAAATTTTATTCATTGAAAACAACTAAATATTATATTTTTTATCAATCGTTTAAATATTTTATTTATAATTAATAATTAACTAATAAAAGTTATTACAAAGTCTTATAGGAAGAGAACAAATGCCTCTCGTTTGTCATCGACCAATCACGTGCAAGTTCTTATACAAATTATATCCTGTTATATATTTGGAAAAATTACAATCGATTGACCAATCGTATTACTTTATTTACCAACGTAATTTCCGTCATATATTTGACGATAATATTGAACTTGATTAATCCCCATTTCTTAAAAATTTTATTTCCTTAGTATTTTTTAATAATTTCATAACAAAATACAATCGATAAATTTTATACGTTGCATTAATTTTATTTGATATATATATATATATATATATATACATACATATATATAATATAAGAATAAACAGTTTTATATTTGAAGTTATTCTATTGTGAAAAATGTTTATGAATTTGCAAAAAAGTAATTATATGTATTTAAAAATTAAAGTATTTGAAAGGAAAATTTAAATATATCGCCATTATGTAAAACTTCGAGAGAAATCTAGCAGATGTCGCCGCATTGATTATCTAAATATGAACATAAGAAATATTCTTAGATTTTTAGGTTAAAGACTGTATAGATATAGATCATTCTGATCATGTAATCTTATAAGAAAGTTATCTTATAATAAAGTTATATTGAAAAATTAAAAGATGGCACAATTACCATCTGGAATTTTAACTCATTCTCAAAAAGTTTGCAGTTTATACAAACGAGCTTTGCTATGTCTTAAATGTTGGTATTTCGATCGATTAGAATACAGGTAATTAGCAATTTATAATATGAACGTAATATATATATATATATATATATATATATATATATATATATATAATATTTAGATTTGTTATATGTACATATAAGCAATCATTATTTATTTATATATATGTATAATGACAGTATTGTAAAAAATATAGTAATCATAAGAAGAAAAATATTAAATTAGTCATAAGATTATTGTATGTTTTCTCTTTCTTTTTTATTCTTGTTTAGATACGAGGCTGTAAAACTTCGTCAACGCTTTGAAAAAAATGCAAATATAAAAGATATAAGATTAGCAAAACATCTCTTACAAGAGGGCGAAGAAGAATTATTTCAAAAACAACATTTTCAACCATATGCATTCCCTGAGTCACCAGGAGGTGTTGCCTATAAAAGAAACCCCATAATACCAGATAGCGTATTAGATTCTTGGGATCCAATTGAAAAAGCAATGTATCCTAAATATTTTGCACGGCGCGAACAACGTAAAAAAGAATACGTAGAATGGTATTATAAGCAATATCCAGAAAAACTAGAAAAAAAAGATCCTGATTAAAAAAGATGTAAGGTAAAGGATTAGTTATTAATTAAATGTTATACTCAGTAAGGATAGAAACATAATATGAGTCTTACTGTATCCTTAATTTATATGCTTTAGCATTGTCAATAAACATTTTGAAATGGATATTTCGTTGTTGCTAATAGGGATCTTAAGAATAAATTTCATAATTATTTGAACTTTGTATACGGAATACAATGAACTATTATTTTTTTAAAATAATGTGCATTCGTTTAAACATTGCACGACTCGTAATATGTATTAAATTAAAAATAATAAACTCATAGTGAAGACAGTGTTTACCTATTGCGCTTGTAGTTCATATTTTGTCCAATAGCTGTCGCTAAAGTCGCATAAAATACGAGCGATAGATGGTGAACAACCTTAATAATGATCAAACTGATTGGTAGATAAGTTCATCAAAATATCTTAAGATGTCGCTACTATTTATATATATTAATATGTGTCAATATATATTTTGGTCGGAGTCGTGTCGTGGATCATCGTGAACGTTCTGTCAGGGCCGTGCTTTTCAGCCATGCCTTGCTTAACTGTAAAAGAGGATACGCTTAAATGATTCATTTAAATATTAGCCCTTGAAAAAGCCTAGAACGAAACGTTGCAATGTAACATCTCGCAGACGAGATTAAACATGAATCTCATTTGCTTTAATAAAATGGAGTTGGGGTGTTTATTAAAAAGTAAATTATTATTCGATCAAATATGTCGGTCGTATTAAAAAAATTCAATGGTGAATAGATGTGGCAAAAAGGTAACATTTTCGATACGTACAAATTTTTTACAATGTCACTTGACATTCTACAAGAAAAAAATGCAACAATAAACGGCAAGGGCAATATGTCGGTAGTGTCACAGCCTACTACAAGAGGTGGGCTTAGAGTTTACAAGATAGTTGTCTTGGGTGATGGTGGTGTTGGAAAATCAGGTATTGATTCAAGTATCAACTTAAAATATACATATATATATACACATATACATACATATAATAAAATGAAATAGAAGAATCTAATATATCTTATAATGTACATTAATATAGATTTTTTTTTTCAGCTGTAACTTTGCAATTCGTAAGTCATAGTTTCCTCGAATGTCATGATCCAACAATAGGTGAGATATATTCTTATTTAACTTGTTTTAACTTCAACTTAATTATATTTCGTTTTATTTCGTATTTAATATATTGTTGCTTTTAACAGAGGATTCGTATCAACAACAGGCTGTAATAGATGGAGAAGCAGCACTTTTAGATATTTTAGATACTGCTGGACAGGTGTGATATATTTTATCATTAAACTGGATAATTTTAATTTCCTTAGTAATTTTATATAATATATATGTATATATATATATAATATGTTTTTGAATCCAGGTAGAATTTACTGCAATGCGTGATCAGTATATGAGGTGTGGCGAAGGATTCATGATATGTTATTCTGTAACAGATAAACATAGTTTCCAAGAAGCTTTAGAATATCGTAAATCAATATCACGTGTACGGCCTAACGAGCATATTCCACTTGTATTGGTTGGTAATAAATTTGATTTACAGCATCAGCGTGAGGTAAAGTATAATATATATAATATACAATAAAAACATAATATTTTCAATGCGACATTTACTAGGTATCAACAGAAGAAGGTAAAGCGCTTGCAGAACAATTAGGATGTCCATTTTATGAAACATCTGCTGCGCTCCGGCAATTCATAGATGATGCTTTTTATTCATTAGTTCGACAAATACGTGCAAAGGAAAGATCACGTAATTCAGTTCGAAAACATAGTCGTTGGTGGCGTCTTCGTTCAATTTTTGCTTTTATATACAGAAGAAAGCGAAGACATCATCACCACCATCATTATTCTCCATAATAATAACCAATTTTAAAGGAATTTATTAGATATTTTACATTAGTGAGAGATATAGAAAGAAAAAAAAGTAACTAACTTTTGGGCTAAATTACAACGAAGAAAAAGATTTTAATGACTTTTATATTTTTAGAGTACTTTCCTAGGAATTAATAATTTACTAACATCACACTGCCTTATCATCAAACCTAAATCATAGGTAATTTTGAAATGAGAAAGTGAATCATATATTGAGATGGCATGTTTGTATATTAGATTTGTGTTATATCAATCCAAACTGACATGCCCAACAGAACAATGTTGAACCTAGAATGTAATAAAAGATTCACTTTCACTATAAATTACAAGTTTCAGGTATTACAGCAATACATTCTACATGACATTATTCCGTACATGTAGCACATTGTTCTTAAATATTACTCATCTCGAAGGCTGTTGATAAATATATAAGCTCTTATTATTTATAAGAGCTGATTATATGAAAAAGGAAGTAAATACCTAATATGCATTTCCAGAAGGAGATCATTTTTTTTTTTGTTTTATTTTATTTTCTTTTTCTTTTTTTTTTTTTTTTTTTTTTTTTTTTTTTTTTTTTTTTTTTTTTTTTTTTTTTTTTATTTATTTATTTATTTATTTTTTTTTCCTTTGATGAAAAAATACTGCAGATGAAAAAGATATAATAATTTCACTTAACATTTTTATCTAACCAAAGAGATAAATATTATTGGTATATTTGCAGAATGCATAAATGGGAAATCTAAATTTTTATAGCATATAAATAAATGAATATGAGACGTTAAATGAAAATTTTATAAAATAAATATTTAATATATATTGTTTGACTTTTGTGAAAAATGTAAAAATTCTATTCATCTTCCTTTAAATGAAAAGGCCTATATGAGAAGGCAACATAAATATTGAGAATAATTTTTTATACTAAATTTAATACAAATTATACTAGGTATTATATAACGATCAGAATTGTGTATAAAATTTACATTAAAAAAAAATTATAATTTAGATTTAAAAGTCGCACAAAAAAAGTACGAACTTTTGGAAGGGACAGTCTTCAATCATGACACATATTTACATTAGTATATGTAACATTTAGTAATCCAAAGACCATAATATGTAAATATGTAACAGTTGTAGGCTATCCCTTAATTTACTAGCTGGCTTGTGGTATATACGAATATGTAAAAGAGATGTCTTCAATGTTAAAGACATTTTTATTTTAAGTTACCACATAAGAAAAAGAAAAAAAGAACATGAATTTACAGAATAAATATCTAGTCGTTACTTAATAATGTCCTAGTCAAAAAAAAAAAAAATTCTACATTTTGTTATATGGATATCAATATAGTGTTAAATCAAGCAGCTTGAATATTATTTATGTACAATGTGTATATTAAAATAAAATCGGCCTTATAATGCGTTTTATAATACGCACAATGTACTCATAAGCAATATAATTATATGTAAATCATAATGTCCCTTTATTAAATGTGAATTGAAATTTAAGTAATTTATTAATTAGTTATATAATAAAGAAAAAGATAATATATTATTTTTAACAAAAAACTCTGCAAATAGATTGGCAGCATTAACAATTACTATCACTATGTATCGTTTTGCAAATATATAATTTATAACATGACACTTGTACATTACAGCTTATATCATGCTATGTATTACCATACTTAAACATAATTGATTTATTGATTTGTCATATTAATAAATCCTTTGTTATTTGTAGATAATTATATTTCTTCAGAAGTGTATAGAAAAATGAAAACTAAGAGAAAATACATTGTATCATTATAACGTTGTACATACTCTTTTTATTACATAATTTTACATGAAATCAGATATGGATATATTTTCTTGAAAAAAAAAAAAAAAATAAGTATAATAATACTTAATATTCTTATATTGCATAACTGTAACCAAACATTAAAAGCTTTCGAACATTATTTCCAAAACTAATCTGTCATTATCTTAGAAATACTATACAAATTATTTAATTCACTTTAATTGACAAGGCATCCAGTAAATAAGTATTTATATCACAGAGATATTTAATGCATCGATTGATTAGATAATTTATGGTTTCTCTTTTCTACATATGAAACAGTTTCTACTGCCTCATTTCCTTGATTATTTACATCTGATTGAAAATAAACATTTGCTTAAATATATATTTATTTAATAATATAATATATATATATATATAAAATTTTCTATTACCATTTTTTTCTACTTCGTCATTTTCTATTCCTTGAGTCGTGCCATTTTCTATTTCTACATTTCTTTTAGCTGAAAAATTATATATATATATATGTATGTATTAATTTTCCTGTAAAAAAAAATGACATAGCATTTTTTATATATATATATATATATAATACAAGTATATATAAAGATATATAAAATAAAAATAAAATCATAATACATTACAATAATTCTTAAGTTGTCATATTTTAACAAGAAATATATTTACAGGGATTAAAAACAAAATAATGGAAACATTTGAAGAAGATACACATTTAGGAAAATAAATCTCTTTAAGTATTTTCTGTACATAAAAGCATACTGTTGTTGGAAACAATGAGAAAGATCATTAATCAGATCATATTATTTTTTTTTTTCTACAGAGATTCCTGTTTTATAATAATTACACTATCTTTTTCTTTTCTATAACATTGTCTTCAATAATCAAAGATTTAGAAATTGTAGTCCTATCCATTGATGTTGATGTTCATGAAACATTCATTAAACTGTTTTAATTGAGACAGGATCTTTCAAATGTTCATTTAGTTCTTTTGTCACCTTTTATGTAATAGTTTTAAAGTTCTTTGAGATTAATTTCCATCCACTATTCCGTCCTCTTATCTGATAATATCCTTCGATGATTATTTATTGTCTATACTGACATAACCTTAAAAATTCTTACTCTCAATACATCAAAATGAAATAAAATAACAGTTTATGTTGCTGATGTTTTTAATTATGTAAATGTACAAAAATCAAAAATCCAATTCTTTTTCAAATTCCGATAATTTTCCCATGTTGAAGCACTTACACATTTATAAATCCATTGCGCACGAGAATAAATGATACACTGACCTATTACGTAGAAATTATTACATAGAATAAACAAATATGTTCTAAACGATTCTAAGAATGAAAAGACAATAGTCTAATAAAAACAAACAAACGTTACAAACAACAGAGAAGGTTATTGATGATAGTAACAATAACGATTATCTTTGTTTTACTTGAATCACCGTAAAGGTCGAATGTACTACGCGATTCTTCATTATATCTCTTAATATAAAATATATTCGTTATTAAGATCGCAATACCTTGATAATTACATTTCAAATTTTCAATTATCCACAAACTATTGTAATAAATGATGGTTCCCTGATATCAACTCAAAAAAAATTATTTCATCGCCCGAAAAATCATTTCCATTATTTTGTCAAATCCCTACATGTATGTTTATTATATATATATATAAAATATTATTATTATTATTATTATATATATATATATATATATATATATATATATATATATAAAATAATAATAAAATTTCAACCGATATATGAATATTTATTACGATTTTAAATTCATCATATATATATATATATTTTAACAACAAATAAATGTATATATGTTCTATGTATTTCTTTGATCAAAAATCTCCTAGGATTTAATTATATATTATTTTTAATATATCCAATCAATTTAAAAAAATAATTTCAACATGGAAAATTATATCGATAAAAAAAGATTATTTATTGGAATGTAATGTTTCTTGTTTTTTGGAAATGGAAAAATTGAAAAAATAAAACTAATAGATTTTCATGGCAGTTCTTTTCTTTCCCTGAATTTTGAGGAAAGTATCACTACCTTTTAACATTGTTACTGAAAGACGAGGAGCTAGGCGCACAGCACCAGGTGGATCTGTTGGTAGAATTGGGATTTGATGGTACTTCAAACCACGCTGACCAGCTACAGATATTCTTATAGCGGAGTCCCGAACAAGATGTAACTGACTAGCATCAATGACCTTTCTTGTAGCTAAATCAGCAGAGTCCGAGAATATCTTATGATACTAAGTCAGAAATTAAAAGGCGATACTTTTTTGTTTACTTTTTTTTTTTTTTTTTTTTTTTTTTAAATAAATGACTTAACTTGATTCGGTTTGAATAAATAAGAACTTCTATTTGAAGTAACATTTAAATTGCCCAATATATAAAGAACCTTGCGATAATAATTCAGTATAAAGTATATTTAATAAAAAAAATGTTAATAGAATTAAAGCATAATAAAGAAAAAAATAATAGAAAACGTTCATATAATTAGAATATATGGACAGTTTAAAATGTGTAAATATATTATTAAAAATTAAAATATAAAATAAAATGCTATGCTATTCAAGTAATACTGTAATATGTAAATAACAACTTACGTGTTAATGTAAGATCAGATTTAATATTATTAGCTGGTGCATTATAAGCAAGTTTTAATTTTTCCATTTCATCTTTGACCTATGAAAATTATTTTATTAATAACTTAATAGCTATATATGATATATTTTATATATATAAAAAAAAAAGTAACATACTCTGTCCAATTCTTCTTGAAGTTTTTTATTTTCTTTTCGTTTAGCATCTAATTTATTCAATGAGTCTAATTCACTTTTACAGATTACTATAGAATCTTTAAGTTCATCATTTTTTTTCTCTAAATCATTTTGCTTTTCTAATCTTACATGTAAATAAGCTATGTCATCTTCCATTTGTTTATATCTTTGTTCTAATTTACTGCGTAATGTTACACACTGATCTCTATCTTCTGCGCTATAAAAGATATAATTTTATTTTTTTTTATAACATATTTAATAACTAAATATTACAACACTTTATAATAATCAAAATTAATATATAAGATTATGTGCATATATTTGATTAGTTGTTAATTAACTCTTTTGAAGGAAAGGATTATAATTTGATACAATATCAGTAGCATAATACTAATTATTTCTAAAAAATATATTTTCTAATATATACAATATGCCATATAATAAAGTATCTTTACCTTATTTTAAGCTGCTCATTAAGTTCATCTATTTGGTGCACTAAATCTAAATTTTCAGAAGATAAAGTCCACCAGTTGCAAATAAGCATTAAACATGCAATAAAGAGTCCTCCAACTAAAAGAGGTGAACATCTGCCTGTTCCAACTCTCATGCTGTCGATTCCCATTATACTTTTATTCTTAGCTTCCCACCTAATATGCATAAGCTTTGATATTAATAATAAGCTTATAAAACAAAGAAATAAAGTCAATATCTCTAAATACTTTTAGATAGATTAAGTCTTTGCAAATACTTTTTAAAGAAACTTTTGATAAAATTAAATTTCAATTTATTTTATACTTCCCGGCATACGTATACATTAAGTGCTCATACACTCTAACCTTTAAACCAAGTACGAAATTTTTATAATGACATTTGCGATCGAAACATCTTAGAATTAATTCGTACGTGTTTCGTTGTTATTTCTTGTAATATTAATTATTAGTATTGTCACCGACACGTATACATATCTATAATTTAAATGGGAAATATAATATAACAACTGCTTCACTCTCTGTTATCTTATGACATGGACGTTTAGTATATATACTACAGTGCATATGGTTACCATTTGTGCTACTTCTTATCAATGTGCATACAAAAATCGTTACACGTATCGGTCATTAATATTTATTCCAATTAACCAGCTGATAATTGTGAATGATCGTGAATATTACTTTAAAATAAATTATAATTTGTGCTTATTTTCTTTACTTGACATCTTTCTATGCCAATGAGTTAATTACAAAAAAATGCGAATATTTGGTTAGAGATTATTACGTATCATTAACATTTGTAGAAGTAAATTGTACATATGTACGTAATCGATATTTTGTAAAAAAAAGATTAATATTAGCTTTATAAATTATTGATTTTTTATTATTATTATTATTATAATTATTATTATTATTATTATTATTATTATTATTATTATTATTATTATTATTATTATTATTATTATTTAATTATATAAAAAAGTTTAGTTTAGAGTTTAGAACAATTATTTTGTATAAATGAAAAGAAAGTTATTTATATGTATGTATGTATTTATTTACATATGTATATACGAAAGTCACATTTACTTTATTTTTCCTTCATTATACATAATATGTTTTGACTTAACATTCTACCATCATAGATTATTCATTATTGAATAGAATGTCAAAGGAGGCTTGTTGTGTTGTTCGATCTAATTGTAATTTCCTTATATATATGTATACGTGTGTGCGTGCGTGCGTGTGTGTGTGTGTGTGTGTGTAATGTGTGAATGATTTATACACATACTTTGATCATTTTTAAATTTTAATATATTGCGTAGTTTCGATAATATTGCCATTGGCCCGAAACTTCTTTTCTTATAAAAATTAATTTTGTAAGGTTAGTACATCTTATTTAAATTATTTTTAGAATTTTATCTTTTTTTTCTTTTTTTCTTTTTTTTTTTTTTTTTTTTTTTTTTTTAATTTATAGTCGTATACACAAATTCAATAGCAACGTATATTTTCAATGGAAATCTATGAAAATAATTATTTGAAATTATATCATAGAGAAAATTAAAAATAATATGTGATTAAAATTCTTTTTCGTATAACATTCATTTTATATACAACTTTCTTTTATTAACGCAAATATTGAGAACAATTAAGCGATCAAGGATTTAATATTTTTTTTTTCTTTTTTATCGTAATCGGGTCTGCAATTAGGCACACGGATTTTTAAAATGCTGTTAAAAATTTGTAAAATCTAACACAGTTCACAAGATATATTTACAATAGCTTGCAAGAAATTATTGCAAATTTAGTGGTACAAAAAATTATGAAACTTTATGAATATTTTTTTTCTTTTTTTTTTTTTTTTTTAGAAAATTCTCATCTAATTGAAACAATTTTCACTTTGCTGACCTTTTAAAATTGTGTTTTAATTAGGACATTTTTATATATCCATAAAATTGCATAATTTTTTTTTTCTTTTGAATGTCCAGATTTATTATTCACTCTTCATTAATATGTTGCCAGGGAAGATAGCTGTTTATGGGAAAGTATATTTTTTTTATAGATTTTTCATTTATTATAAGAAATTTTTAGAATTTTGAAACGCCATCCTTTTTCCTTAATCATACTTCCCGCAACTGCTATCTCGGTTTACATGCTATTTATCTTATTATAAAACAGTATCATAAATAATAAGTATTTCAATAGCACGAACCTTTTCCAGATGTTCCAAATACGCCTATAAGAAGTTTTAGCATCCTGTGATCTTTTTAAATACATTCTACATTATCTATAATTTTCTAGTTGTTCTCAGAAATTTGAAATATGAAACACGTCGAAAAATCTATTTGAAGTTTCATATGGAAAAATATGTATAAATGTATGCTATTTAATTGCAAGTTGTATGCAGTGCAATATCTAGCAATATCCATCCACTTAGCGATAACACGTTATGTATTATTGTGTAAATATTTCTTCACTAAATTCTTTATCTTTTCTTCTAAATTATCATTACAACTCATATTAGCATTTTATTATTTACAGCCAATCAAAAGTCTATCCAATAATATAGTTGACTTGGTTATATCTCATAAGTAAATATTCAGTAATGTAGAATTATTTTCAATTTAATTATCTTACCAAAAATTATAGTCTCTTGCTATACACTCACTGTACGATTATGTAGAAAAGAATTTTTTTTTGTTCTTTTTTTCTTTTTTTTTTCTTTTTTTTTTTTTTTTAAGTAAAATCGTTGTCCCGTTATTATTCTATACTTCTCTACCAACATGTTACATTCGCGTTGTGGATAAAACTATTAAAAAAAAGTAGAGCTGTTTTCCTATCACCATTTTTCATTTTATAACAGAATCTAGTGCATTAAAAATGTCAATCAAACTTGTAGGATACATCAATATACTTGCTTTCGTTACTGCCAAGAAAGGGCTAGATATCAGTGGAAAGGCAACACTAAAGAATTCTGATATATTGTAAAAATGGATGAATTTGTTTACTCCACTATTCATCCACTCTTATCTACAATGTTAATACTAATTTACAACATTTTCTTCGTTATTTCAAGCTTATTTATGTTAAATTAAATCAACATATTGTCCTTGAAAAGAAAAGAATTGTATAGTAGATATTATAGAATTAAGAATAAACAATGATTGAAAATAAATCATATACATATGTCCTTGAATGATGTCCATCAAAGAACACAATGCATTGTATGTCATATAAAATTTTTAAGTGCCTTGTACCTTATTATGATTTTTCTGTTGGTACATGTTCACTTAAATACATAAAATAAAATACCATAATGTTCATTACAATGATTCTTCTAATATGCTATAGTATATACAATAGTATAAGTACATTCTGTAATTATATTACAATACTATGATCAAATGAAGTCTAGTTTCTTTTTATGAAATTGATCTACATTTATTAACAGATCTTACAACATATTGGAGAGCGTACTGTTATTAATATAAATGCAGTGAGATGATTTACAGAGAGAAAACAAAATGCTCTATGATACATATATTTATGAAAATATTTTATATCTGCAAATAGTTTCTAAAAACTAGCATCATCTTCTGCATATAGAATTTATAAAACAAAACGATGGGGAAATTTATTAATAACCTATTAATAAGTTGCACACAAATGTTTATCATTTAAGCGAATTAATTCAGAACACAAAATTGAAATACATGTCTGATAATTTAAAATCAAGATTATTTAATCTTTTTTTTATATATATATATATATTTTTTTATGTATAAGATTAATATCAATTACACAATGCACAAGATTTTATCATCAATTTTGTTTGTCCAAAAAAAAAAGAAAAAAAAAGAAGAAAAAAAAAAAAAAACAAAAAAAAAAAAAAAAAAAAAAAAAAAACAAAAAAAAAAAACAAAAAAAAAACAAAAAAAAAACAAAAAAAAACATTTTCACTTTTTACTTTATGCTATATCAAATAATATTTTTAATATATAAATTGTAATTCATGCAAAAATTTATTTAAAAAGAAACAATTAATTTGTACATTATTGGGTACAGCATAAAATAAAATATATTGAAATAACGAGAATAATGACTATGTGCAAAAATAGATTATTCGATAGATATTCGTTTGAAATACAAAACTATAATTGAAATCTGTACGCTCAGATAATGCAAAATTATACTAAAACACTCATTTTATATCATTTGTAACATATATATTTTAAATAATCCATCTATAATAAGTCCACTAAAATGACATATGTATGTAATACAAGTATGTCTAAGCATTTACAATGCTTTATTAGTGGAAAAGTATTTTCTCTTTTTATTTTTTTTTTCTTTTTTTTTTCTTTTTTACTTAAAGATGGATAACAAAAACATATATTCGCAATTCAACATAAAATGTGCGCATTTAAATTATTATTGTAGAGTTTTAACATAGCCCCAAGAAAAAAGCCACCCAGAAAAAACTAGACGGAGGATAATATATTTTTTATATAATTAATTCTTTCAAATTTTCTGTTTTTTAAAAGCTTATATTGAATATTTTGATTAAAATATATTATATTATGCACAAGAGAAAAGTTAGGGATATTACATTTTTAATTTGTTTATTTTTAATTATTTATCATGTGCTTCCATAACTATATCCAATTTCGTCTGTAACAAATTGTCCCTATATATTAATAATACTAATATTATAACATATTAATTTATAAAAACAAATATTCTTTTTTATTTATGGAGAATATCCGTAACTTTTTTTTTTTTATCGCGACTACACTGTCTGTTTTACTAAAATATTAATATCTTTAAATCGAATTCTTAAGACATACGTGGATATTACACACATTTTTTTCTTTACTTTCTATTTTTACAAAATATATTTGTCTCTCAAATGTTCTGGAGACTAATAAATCATATAAGTAATGTACAATTAGACACTCTTTAGAGAGAGAGATGATTCAGTACGTGTTGCATTTTCATTCTGAATAATCTATTCTTTTCTCATTATTTGGCAGTAACAAAAGTATCCAAGACAATGCATAGCACCGATATCTTACGTGAAATTGTATTTTTGTTATAATCTCAAAACCTTTGTATTCTTTTTTCTTCGTCTTTTTTCTTTTTTCTTTTTTTTTTTTTTTTTAAACACTTGCATCAGCCTTTTTTGTAATTCCTACGATATTGTTTTTTTATTATCATTTCTTGTTTCTTTGTTTGTTAAAACTTTAAAATGACTCGCGTTAAATAATTAGTAAATATTTGATTTAAAATGAAATGATTATATAGTTTAAGAATGAATTAAAATGATATAATGATGTTTAGATAAAAGTAGTTTATAATTGTTGAAAAATGTGTTGTTTTTTGATGCAAGTGTGAATATCCTCTATATGTCTTACCATTTATAGAAATACTATAAACATGGAAAAACTTGCTTAACTTCAAAATAATTACCTCTTGTCATTTATTAATGGTACTCATACTGTCTTTACAGAATATTTTCGCTTATTTGCGAAAGAATAGGAGGAAAACGGTGAGTGAAAATCGTGGTACAGAAAGACCTTGTATTTATATAGAACATTTAAAATACTTTTTGAATTCTTATGTTATACCTCAATCATTCTACTTATGGACACCTTCTTCTTCTTCATCTTTTTCTTCTTCTTCTTTTTATTATTCTTCTTCTTCTTTTTATTATTCTTCTTCTTTTTCATTGCCTCTTATCGTAGATTCAATTCTTTTATTTATTCGCATATATCACGTTGTTCGCTCAAACAATACACCGTTTCATTATCGTTGTTAGGCGTGTGTGTATCAGCGGAAATTGAAATAATGAATAGCATCTCGTTTGAGTTATAAAAAGTCAAATACGACAGGCTCACGAAAAATTATCGCCTGCTGTGTCTGATTTCACTTTCTTTTGTGGTGAACTTGCTTGTGAACGTATATCAGGACCAGGTCGTTTTACTTGCGGATTACTTTTCACGGCGGTAGTTGGATCTGCTAATAAAATAATATAAATTTATTTTTGTGATTAGTAATCAAGATAATTTTTCATAAAAAAAATAAAAAAGAAATCATTAGATATTATCTAAATCGGTTTGAAAAAAAAAAAAAAAAAAAAAGATTTTCTTTACTAACCTTGCAACCACCTAACTTGTGTCGCTGGTCCGTATCCTTTGTCATTTCTTGCCGCTATTCTAAATATTATGGCCGGTTTTGTAGTGGTATCCACATGAGCAGCACTTAGAGAACTATTATTCACAGAACAGGAATTGTTTGAACCACAATATACTCTAATGAAAGCTAATTGATTTGGTGTTGACACGATCGTTCTTGGTTCTCCTTCATTATTTAATGCTGTACTAGCACTTCTAACTGCCAGATAAACAGAATATTCTAAAATGGGTCCCACATTGCTAGGTGGTGGCTCCCAAGATATTTGAGCACCCTCTGCAGATTTTGAAATTTTGATGGCGCTTGGAGCACCAGGAAATCCCGGAAGACACGTTTTGAATGCAGATACCTTTAATAATGAAAGTATATATATATATATATATATATATATATATTTATTAACCGATTATATAATATAATAGCTAATAAAAAAAAAAAAAATTTATGTAAATTACCTCGCTCCAGGCACTTTGTCCACAACTATTCACAGCAGCAACTCTAAACTTGTAAGCAGTTCCAGGTTCAAGAGGTATTTTCGTTCTTCCTTTAAAAACGTCCATTGTTAACGGTTGTGTTATATCTAGTGGCTCATCTCCAGGAAGATAATAATGCTGTACTGTAAAACTTGTTCCCTTTATCACTCCTACGTCATACCATTCTACCTCTTTCTTTTCTTCTTCGTTCTGTTAACAGCATGTACATAAGTATTAATATCAAAGGTAAGAATATACTTAATATATTTAATATAGAAAAAAAAAGAAACAAAAAAATATATATATATATAAAAGAAAAAAAAAAAAGGAAAAACAAGCTCTCACTTGTTCGTTTTTCATTTTCACAGGTGGTTCTGCCGATCCCAAAGCAGCAGTAGCTAAAGTAGTTAATGCCGTTGAATCATCTCCACTCTCTGATCTGTTACTATGTACTTTTTCTTGTTTTACGTTATCCCTTTTTGTAATATGCTCATCTTTAACTTCCACTTTTACTGGCGTCATTGGCTTCTGAGAAACGTCCGATTCTTTCAATACGGAAGCTATACCATTGATATTCGATACAGATACATCAGGAGTCTTATCACGTTCCATAGATTCTTCAGACTCCTCTAATTTCACTTGTAATTCTGTTGGAATAACAGGTGTTACAACATGAACATTTACATGTGTCTCTTGTAAAGAATTATCTGTAAGCATAGGTTCATCTTCGTCGGGCGTATTCTCTATTGGAGAAGTCTTTTTTAAAATTTCTCCACCTTCTGATTCATTTATATCACTTTTAACATTTTCTATTTCTTGATTTTCGTCTGGAGAGATATGTGATTGATGTAAAATATTATCTTCAGCTGATATGTGCTCAGACGATAAAGGCTTTTCCTCAGATGAATACGAATCGAAAGTCATACTTTTTAATTCATTGTTTGTATCTTGTTCACTTTTATTGTTATCCACTGGTTCTATTAATGTCGCAGTTACACTTTCTTCTGGTGTAATTTCTCTAACAGGTTGTTGTTCCGCAGCGATATCATGCTTTATTTGCATTTCTTCGGAAGGTGCATTAATTTGTATATCACTTTCATTAGGTATATCCGTTTCATTAGTACTTTCCGTAGATTCCATTTGTACCTCAGTTATTTTTTCTTTCGAATCTATCGGTAATTCTTCGTCAACCATAGCAGAAGTAGATGTTTCACATGCTGTTTCTGCAGAAGGTTCTGTTTCTTTAACAGGAGACATTTCCATTGAAATATTTTCTGTAACAGCAGAACCAACATCTTGCTCCATTTCTTGAGGATCTGCAGCAGGTTGTTCGTCCTGACTCTCAGGCGTAGGTTCTTCCTCTAAATCAGCTTTATTATTTTCGTCCTCGGATAAAACAATATCTGACGGACCATCGACTTGCGGAATAACGAAATTTCCTTCACCGTCAACTTGCATAGATTCCCCACCAGTCATTTGAGAAACTAAAGCTGCTGCTGTTGTTGCTTCATTACCATTACAACTATCTTCTGTTTTTCCATCACTTTCTGTAACATCATCCGTGGTTACCATGAAAGATAAACCACCAGACGGTTCCTGAACAGGATCTATTAAGCCTGCTTCTGCTGCAAGAGCAGCTAAAGCTGCATCAGTGGTGGCTGGGCCATCGGAAGTAGATGCTACAAAATTTTCAATTAAATATCATAAAATTGTTTCATAAATTGATCCAATTGTTATATTTATATATTATTTTTTCCATATGATACTTACCTAATGAAGCTGATGGTTGCTTTTGCGATGGAACGAAAAGCATTTTACTAGCGTCTATTGTTTCGGATGCACTAGACGTAGTGACTATTGAACTACTTGTGGGCATTAAAGTAACAGTTTTTGCACCTATGCCTCCTGACATCTGTAGTGTTACAGGCTTTCCAGAAACTGCAACAGTCTCCTGAAATATATCAAACAATTAGCAACGCAAAATGATAAAATATACATTTGTTAAATGTTATTAATATATAAAATTTTAGATATACTTACAGACGCCTTTTGAATTTGTGGCACTGTAACTATCTGACTTTTTCCAGGATTGAATATTGCTTGAGGATTTCCTTTAGTAGCAATAGTTACGGTCTTTGGTACACCACCCTGTCCTGGTACTGTTATTGTTATTGGTTTTCCGGCTGTAGCCCCGCCCATTGCTCCAGAAGACACAACAATCATTTTGACTCCTTGTTGATTTGTTACATGATTTGTAGCCGATAAAGGTAATACATTCACAGGAGTCGATAAACTACCAGTCTGACCAGCGCCAGCCTGTGAAGTAGTCACAGCTTGTACAGCTCTTAAACTAGATCCTGTCGTAACAACAATAATTTGGTTTGTCCTTCCAACTAAACCACCGTTACCACCAGGTTTCGTAATCATTATTGTTTGTTTCCCGCTTATATTTTGTCCTTTACTCATTGCTACTATACTGGATGTTTTCATGGTCGTTAATATTTTTGATCCTGCGACGGTATTAGGATTAACTAATCTCAATATTGTAGGACCTTGATTAAGTGGTTTTGTTCCAGTCGCTTGAACTGTTTTCCCAGGAATAAGACTTACTTTAGGCACTGTGGCTACCATACCTTGGCCAGTTTTAAGAAGGTGTACAATTTGGGGTTGACCAGATATATTTTGACCTGGTTTCTGAAGTATTATTTGTTTACTCTGTTGTGGCGACGCAGTACGTAGTACCGTTGCTCCAGGCGCAGCAAAACGTATTTGCTGACCCGGTTGAACATTCTTCATCCTAATAGTATTAGCGGTAGTTTGCGGTATTACGGGTACATTATTCATACTTATTTTTGGAGTTGCAGCAGCAGCAGCTGCTAATGCTGCAATTCCTGACATAGCAGTTGGTGTTTGACCAGTTACAGTTGTGATAGGAGTTGTTTGTTCGGTAGTTGTACTAGCTACCGAAGTTGCCATAGGTGATCGAATTCTGATGAGATTTCCAGCTACTCTTGGAGTCATAGGATTCGTTACCTTTGGCGTAACTTGCGGTACTTTTTGGGCAGGACTTTGTACAGTCGACTGCACTCTTACTGGAGCTTGAGGTAATGACGATCTAGCAGAAGTTGGAGTCGATGGAAGAGATGCAACGGTCGTAATGGGAGGAGTTGTTACAGGTATAGTTGCAGGTGTTACAACTGCAGATGTAGTAATTGGTACACTAGTAGGAGCGCTAACTGTTGGAAATGTTCCAGTTGAAGTAGGTGGCATATCATATTTCTGAATTTGTAGAATATAATATTGTGCAGATGGAGTAGCAGCCCAACTAACTTCCAACGTTTGAGTGGAAGCCCTGACCAGTTGAACGCGAGAAGGTGCAGGTGGTTTGTTCACTTCAAGATACCAAAGATCTTTACAACAAACCTGCGAATGAGTTTCAAAATTGTCAATAAAATACCATTTCTTCTGATAATATTCGCAAAAGAACAACTAACCCTAACCTGGTTGTTCCAAGCTTTACGATAACCATCGCGCCCAGACCAAACATATAATCTACTGTGCACACCAACAGCGCAATGTCCGGCACGTGCACGCGGTACATTTTCCTCAAGAGAATCTACCGTCAGTTGCTCCCACGTTAATGTTTCTAAAATAAAGAAAATATTATTGCGTATAAGTTTACTGAAAAAAAGAAATATATATATATATATATATATATATATATATATATATATATAAATAAGTAAAAAAGAAAGCTTAATTTGAATGACATAAATGTTAACTCACCTAAATTTAAACATGCTAATGTACTTGTACATTTCCATTCTTTCTCGTGTGTTGCTACTTTTACATCATCTACCACAAGGGGCACCCATCCCCCGAAAACATACATTCTGTGACCGATTAAAGTAGCAGTATGGAGAGAACGTGGTAGCGGCGTAGGTCCATGTACTACTGGCTTGTTCCATGTCATTGAATCGACATCGAGAAACCATAGGTCACCCAAACGACAACCACTCATACCACCATAGATCACCAAGCAAGATTTACCTGTTGTACGATCTGTATAAGCAACACCTGTGTGCGACTCTCGAGGTGGAGGTGCATGACCATGGGTTTGTGGAACATCCCATGCTGTTGCTCCATTTGGAAGAAGTTCCAATGTATAGAGATCATTTAAATATCTCGGTATATTATTTTTTGGATCTTCGCTATCATTGGCCAAACCTCCGAATAAAAAGACTCTATTTCCAATAAGAGTAAAACTATGGCCTAACCGTGGACAAGGTGGAGGATCATGTTTTGGTGGTTTTGGTTTTAATCTTTTCCATTCCCACCTACTCGCTTGAAGCTCATAGAGTTCATTAGAGTACTTGCCATATTCTACCATTCCACCAAAAACCAATATGCGTGTACCATCGACCACAAATCCATAGGCCGCACAGCCAGGTGGAATATCGCCTTTGGTTAATGGTACGAACCATTGATTAGTTGCTGTAAAAAAAAAAAGAAAAAAAAAAAAAGAAAAAAAAATTATTCAATTTAACTACTTCTTTCGGAGGAGTATTATTTATTTAATCTAAGAAAAAAATTATTTAATATAAAATATATCGATGGGAGAAAATATTTACAATATATTCTTCGAAAGGAATTAAAAAGAAAAAAAAAAGAAAAAGAAAAAAAAAAAGAAAAAAAAAAAGAAAGAAAAAATTGCGCGCCAGTACAATAAGCGCGGCAACCAGGCGGCAACAGTGATATCGTTTATGTTCGAAATAGGAGTAGTAATATAAAAATGAAAACTAGAAGAAGAGGAGAGGGGGTATGTAGCAGTGCGAGTGCATACATATGTAGAAAAGGAAAAGAGAAGGAAAGACGAAGCATGAACATGGAATGATGGGAAACAGCGCAGCACAACGCAACGCAACGAAACGCAGCGTAGCGCAGCGCAGCGTTGCGTTGCGTTGCGCGTGGTGGGGCGGGCGAGACAGCAATGGCTGCTCCCGCGCGTATAAACACGAAAAATGACAGTAGGATTCTAAGCTAACGTTGATACTATCACGTACTTCGATGAAAAAAAAAAGAAAGAGGATCCGTTTGGAAAAAATTTTCAGATTCATTAACGAGCAACGCATTAAGGGTTGCTAAGCCAGAGATTTTCTTGATTCCGATCGGTTCCGGCCGGTGACCGTCTTGTCAACGAATGCCGCCATCTTGGATCGCGGGAATCGTTAGGATCAGGCGCGCAAGGACGCATAGCAGCGCGAAATTGACTCACCTGTGTTATAGACATGAAGTTCGTCTACTATACCCTCGTTTCCACCGCCAAAAACGACCATAAGATCCTTAATGGCTACCGCCCTATGCCCATGTCTGGGTCTTGGCTGAGGCCCGGTCGGATTTGTGATCCGCTTCCACTTTAACATGGGTGCCGCCATGATGACCGTCGATCACATCATTTTCTCATGCCGCGCGACTATACACACTGTTTCCCCCAGAGCCAACCGAACGTCCCCCGATGGCACCAAAATCGTTTTATCTTTCTTTTATGTTAAAGAGAGAGAAAGACAGAGAGAGATAGATAGATAGAGAGAGTAAGAGTAAAAGAGAGAGAGAGAGAGAGAGAGAAAAGAGAAAGAGAGAGAGAAAGATAGATAGAAAAAAAAAAAAACTTTTTCTTTTCTTTTTGTGATATTTTTTTGTTTTCTCCCCTAGACTTCTTATCACTTTCTTATCTGCCGACGAAAAATTCGAAAATTTCTTCGCACCCACGAGAAGAAAAAAAAAAAAACTTGCCGCTTTCGATATTCCCAACACCGTCTCGATACCGTATCTCTTCGAGACTCTAACCTCCCTTACTTCGTGATTTCAGATGAATTTTATATTTATATTACTTCACTTAATTATTATTAACGAAATGAATAGTTTGAACGTCTTATAAGAATAACGTTACGTCGAATGAAAACTCGGAAGACCGAGAAATTGTGCGTAACGTTAACACGTATACACGGAGGACGCAGAGCGCGTATTTACTCGCACGATGTTTACGGCACTGGTCTCGCGTATTCTAGTGTGCCCGCTTAGCGAACGCCAATGGCTCGGGCGTGTATATACTTTTCACGTTGCACAATCATCCTACTACGAGCTAACAGTAATAACAATTGATAGATCCTTATTCTACAATGATTTCTTGATTCAATGAACCTTCATATTGTCGACTTATACCATTAAGATTTCTTCAGAAACTCCCGTCAAATTGACGAAAAGCGGCGCGCCAAAATTTTCACTATAAGAGAATTGTCACTAAAACCACCCGCGAATACCAATAAGACAACAATCAAAACACGGAGGGGTTCACCGTTAATAGATATGATCGAATAAATTTATTCTAATCAACGATCTGACGGCATGCACAAGCGGCCTCCGTGTTCTTCGTCCATCATTGCACAGGACTTGCATTGATAAAATTACTATTTGTCGTACCAACTAAAATAAATGCGTAGGGACTTTAGATTTCTTCGTACATAAAACGATTATGAACAAGTTATAGTATACTAAGTGAATATTACCTTTTAAAAAAGAACAAAAAAAAAAAAAGAAAAAAAAAAAGAAAAAAGAAAAAGATCATAAAATCATCCGACGAAGATATATATCAATGAATATTTAATTAAGCTATTTTTTATCTCCATAATATTTTTTTACATATAATAATTTTTCCATAGAAAATTTATGAAATATAAATCCTACAGAGATAGAATTAATAAATATAAATCTTATACGGTTTTACATCGTAATTTTTTAGATGTCAGAATTAATTTTGCAATTGATTGTACTTGCAGTAAACTTTTATGTCGTTGTAATTTGAATATTATCAGAATTGAATTCATAGAATATATTCTATTAATTTCTTTATCTTCAATAATTCTATTCGTTTTCTTTACCGACGAACACTTTCCACTGATCTTTCTGATCTATTCTATGTCATATGTCACAAAACTAGTAAAAAATTACTAAATTGAAAATCAGGCTTAAACCGCGGTATTTCAAAGCAAATTTGAATATATCACATTAATATAGTTATTTAATGAAATATTCTCCCAAGTTATATGAAATATATCCATCATAATCCAAATTTAATATTAACAATATATTTGTATAACTTTCTTCCTTACAACGTGATTGCTTAAATATTTTTATTATTATAGTTCAAGAAAAACTTATATGCAATGTAATGTAGCTAAAATATATTGCTTCATTTGTCAATGTATGTATAATGGTTGATATGAATTATTTCAACAAGTACATACTGACCATTTATATATTTTCAAAAATTGAAAAAAATTTAGCTTTAGGAAGAAATGCTTGTAGGAAATAGCTTCCATAACATATTAAATTGAAGTAAATTACACAAATTGTAAAGATTGAGATATTTGAATAATATAAAAAATGTTATCTTATAGTTCTTCAAGTAATATAATATGTTACATATGTATTTTTAATCCAATGCATTCTTTGCCAATTGCTGCAACTTCACAAATTCTGCATAATGAATCTTTATACTGAGGTTGATAACTTGCTCCACAAAGTGGACATTTCACTTCTTGTTTTCCTCTGTAAATTGGTGTGAATGTACTTGCACATAAAGAGAATGGATTATGTTCATCATATGCTAATTGATGCTCATCAGTGGGATTTTTATCACATGCCTGAAAGAAAATAATGTAACAATTAAACTTCTTCCAAATTTTATACGTGTATACATGCAATAATAAATAAAAAGTTTACCTGTAAAAGTTTCCGAACTTGCTGTGCTAATTCAGGTTTAGGACCAAGTTCAAGCAATCTTCTAGCAAAAGAACCAGCAGTTTTATAATTCTTTAACTTGAAAAACATATTAGCCGCTATTCTTAATGTTAAAATTTGATGAACTGGTTGTAGATTACAATGAGTAAAATATGCTGCCATTTCACAAATTCGTTTTTGCTCTGCTAATGTATTTTTCGGCAAATTTTTCCTTTCGGTTTCCATTTTTAAACCTAAAATATATTCTCGACATATTTGAATTAGTTGTTGAGCTTCTGCAATATCTTGTCTAGTATCTACAACTAATAATGGAATGCTAAGTAATATTGCTTGGAGTTTTTCTATAGCTTCTGCAAATTTCCCTCCTGTTGTCAACTGATAACAAATTTGAAGCCGTTGAACCAAATTTGTAAGATGTAATCCAACAGCAGGTAAATTATTTTTTGGTGTAGCATCTTTCCAATTTCTTTGAGGATATCCATATAAGGATAATATATTTGGTAAAGATGCAAATGATGTTTTGGCACGAGCATATGTATTTAAGAAGAGGGATTGATATGGTGCAAATTCAACTACACCGACTTGATTGTTCAATAATCTGAAAGCTGTTTCAAAAGATCCAGCCAATATATGATCTACAGTCAATTGTGAATTATTGACCCAGTGTTGTGTTGTTGAGACTCCTTTTGTTGGAATAGAATAATAACCATCCTCAGATATTGGCATTGCATTTTCAATTTCTGGAGGAAGATCTACATCTTCAACATCCCAGCCTGCAGTTTCTTCACCTTCTACAATAGGCTCAACACCTTCAACACCTTCTTCATCGTCAATTCCTAATTCCTCGTCATTGCCCCAACCGTCCGCAACTACGACAGTATCATCTTCTGGAGCCAAAGCTGCAGCCACTTGACTCTTGCCACGAGACATCATGGCACCCTCGAAGAATCCTTTTGAAACAGTCAAGAGTGGCCAATTATTTTCAGCTTGTTGAATAGGTACTGGCGGATGGAGATATACAGCTCCTTTTTCAAGAGCTGAAAGTTCATCTTGCATGGAACTATATTGAACGTCATCATCCTCGTTTGAAATTCCATGAATTTTCTCTGTGACATAAGCCAACGATGCTTGCCCCGAGTTCTACAAAAAAGAAAGAAAAAAAAAAAGAAAAAAAAAAAAAAGAAAGAAAGAAAAACCACAAACAAATCGCAATATTTTATAGATATATAATAGAAAGGGATTAGTTTATAATTATACCTTTAAGATCTTTGCTCGTTCATAAATATCACCAAGTAATAAACTTCCTTGATATTGTCCAGATACATCTTTTCGAATTTCAGCGATCTTTATCATTTTACGCAATTTTTCCAAATTGCCAGTAATCAGATAAAGAAATGACAATTTCTCAAAGTTTTTAGTTCTTTGATAACACATTTCAACAACTTGATGATTGCCTTGCATTAAAGCAGCTTGTGCTAAACTTTCCCAACACGTTTTTTGATCTAAAGATCTTGCTGCCTCCAAAGCTACTTCAATATTACCACATTCAAGTGCAAGCCCAAATCTTGTTTTTTCATCTTTAACGAAATGTAATGCAACTTCTGGATATCCTTTTTGTTGTAAATATGCTATTATGGATTGACCAACGAGATTTGCTGTACGAACCATATGTAATACTTCTTCATATTTTCTATTAATAAGAGCTAATTTGAATTTATATTCTGTTGGATCTATACGCAATATTCTTGGTCTACATTCTCTGTCAAGACAATATACTTGATTTCCTTTCACTCTTGTCACATAAATTGGTAAATCCAATGTACGAATAATACCATGATCACCATTATTAATAGCATATTTGATATGATTGCTAGTAGTATATATAAATACTCCAGAATCATCCCAAGCTCCTGATTTTACTCTTGTATTTTCATGAATGGAGCATAGAGATTCTAATCTGCGATTGCAAATATTAACAGTGTGTTTAGCCAATAGAGCAACATGAGACATGTCATTAGACCAAACAACATATCTACATTTTGAAATCTTTACTTCAGCTAAAGTTCTTTTTTGTTGGACATCAAACAGCGTAACTTGATCTGCATCTCGTAAAAGTAGCATACCTGTACCAGCATAAAATATTTCATCGCAATTTGGAATTTGTACTTTCTTTGTTACTTCATTTTTTAGATTTTTTATGACCAACTAAAAAAGAAATAATTGTTATTATCGGTTTATCTACAAACAATCTATAAATTATAAATAAAAAATTGTCATACAGAATATGCTCTATCCAAAACTGCAAAACGATTCCTAGCAACCCAAATGGCTGTAACACCAGAAGCACGTTTCGTATCGGCATCTGTACTTGTATCACCTTCACGTGGTATCACATAAAGATCATAAGTACTATTCTCTATATTCGACGCCGATCTTGTACATATCAAAACAGCATTTTCAGCTTGATTATATGACATACTGTATGCAGGTGTCTTTCCTCCACCACGAATTTGCATAACAGAAGTATCTTTTGAAGTAGTAAAATCTAATTTACGTAGGAAACGTTCCTTCACATAATAAAGAAGGTTTCCATGGATTGCATAAGCTGGTCGTTCTCTTTCTAATTTAAAGATTATCATACCAGAGTCATGACCTGCTGCAAACAAATTTAAAGTAGGATGTGCAGCAAGTACCCAAAATCTTTCGTGTTCTCTTCTAAATGTATGTAAACATGTACGCTTCGTCATATCCCATACTCTTATGCTTTTATCTTCAGAATTAGATAGAATTAAATCCTGTCTTGGATGAAATAGAACACATGAAACATTGTCATAATGACCCCTGCAAATATCTACTTCCCAAGCTTTAGTATCATTCATGCGCCACATCTTAATTTGACGATCATCTGCTCCAGAGACAATTAATGGTAATGTTGGATGGAAAGAAGCCCAATTAACGCCTCTATCATGACCTTCCAAAACATGTTTAACTACAGCATCAGCTTGTCCAAATAGATCCGTAGCTCCAGGATTTTTTAAATGATCTTCTAAACCACCTGGTCCAGGTGCTACATTTTTTTTACGTAATCCAGATATATCCCAAACTCTAACAGATTGATCCAATGAAGTTGATACGATAACATCTTCGGTTGGATGAAATTGAGCACACATTACATAGTGATTATGACCGGTTAAAACACAGATACAAGTACGACTCTGCCAATTCCAGATACGTATAGTTTGGTCATCAGAAGCACTGAGAATCCATGGATATTCTTGATGAAACATTGTAGTTCTGATATAATCCAAATGGCCTAATAATGTAAAAATACATCTACGTTGCTTATAATTCCATACTTTGATTTTATAATCATCGCCACCAGATACAAACAGAGGTTGTTGACTATGGAAACATATTCCTCTTACAGGACCATCGTGTTCATCAAATTTGTCCAAGAGAGTACACATCCGATAATCCCACAATTGTATAACACCATTGTGTAAACTGAATTATTATAGGCATGTAAGTTTTATATATATATATATACCCACCATCAAAAAATTTCTAGATAAATAATTGACAAAATAAATTATTACCTGGCAAGAATCCACGGACGTTTTGGATGGAAAGATAAGCCCTTTACTCGAGCTGATTTTG